AAAAAACAAAAAGCAAACCAAAAACCAAAAACGAACATTAAAAAAAGAAAGCAAAACAAAAACCAAAAAAACAATAATTGTTGGAAAAAACAATAATCTGTTCTCAGATTTCCGCTCTATATACTATTTTCCTTTGACTTTAAGACAGCTAAGATTCAGTGGAATACACTAAAAACAGTCTGCCTGTTTGCTGTTCAACAAAATAATAAGGTTTCTTTTTTTTTGTTCAACAAACGATCTCCAAAAGATGTCGTTTGGAAAACTGAGCTTTTTGCATACGTTATTTCTTGAGAACGAAGAGCACCTTGACTTATTTCCTTTGGAAATTTCCAACAGGTAACACCAGGAGCTATAACCTCTGGGGGAACTGCATGTACTAGAGGTGCACTTAAGTTGCTAAGTGCATACAGGATAGTGTTTGCAGATCCCTTTCCTATCAAGTCGCTGTAGCCACCACTGATCAACTCAGTGTCTTCTTCGTTTTCATCTCCTTTGTCGTTCAAGCTTTCAGCGTCACCATCTTCTTCTACTTCTACATCATGCGTGAGGAGGAACTGACGAAATGCATCCAGATCTTCTGTCAGCACTGGAGCGAAGGCACTTATCCCAGCAGCGATTTGCTTTATGGCAAAATTCTTGCCATCCTGGATTAGGGCTAATTTTGCCGTTATCACCTGCTTCTGGATCAAACAGGTTGTATACTGGAGACTCTACATGTTTGTTAGAAACAAAAACCAACTGTAAGTCACCTACTAAACATGATACAGCACCAAGACCTCGTACGATTTCAAAAATAGTACTATTACGGAAAACATTGATTTAACCACTACAAAAGAAATCGGCACTTGGCACGGTTAGTAGGAAAGCCTTGTAGACCAAGTGGGTCATGCACTGCACTTTGACTGTCTGTTATGTTGACCAACAAAAGACTTACCGAAATTTCTTCAGAAGATGCTTCCAAGTAAGCTCCTAGTCCTCTGACTTCATTTTCTTTCTCTACATCTAGAGTGAAGAAAGCAAAGTTAACTCAGGTGAAAGGGACAACACATAACAAGTTCTGTTTTGTCGGATCACTTGAAGCATAACAAAGCATATAGTGAGCTATGTGGACTGGCGTCCGTGTTTTTGTGCGTCTGT